CCCCAAAACCCCAAAACCCCAAAACCCCAAAACCCCTTGGAAGAGACAGTAGGTTGAAAGTAAGGGGAAGAGAGGTTTTGAGGGAGAGAATTAGAGGATAAGGGTTGTGGTTAGGAAACCATGTGTGTTGAGGATTCTCCTCGTTGGGGTCTGTTCGAGGTTGCATTTCTTGAAGCTAAAGTAGTGTAGGGTTTGTTTGAGGTTTTGAGATTTAGACAATCCTTCAATGAGATTTGCAAATTCGTGAGGATTATTGGCCCAGTTGCTTCTATTCACAGTTTTACATGAATCAAAAATCAACTTATTGATTCTTGTTTTGTCTAATGCATGGGTGAAGTCAGGCGCTTTAGGTATTGAGATGATAGAGTTATTAATGCTCAAAGATTTTACATGTCTGAATGCAGAAACGATTCTTTGGAGCTGCTTTTGGTTTATTCTGAAACCAGTAAAGTTCACTTTGTTTTGAACTCTTCAAGAGTTTCTGATTATTTCAGGGAAATAGCTTCTAAATTTAGTAAGTCCACTCTCTCAATACATTTTGAGACAATTCACTTTACTAGGAAAACAATAGATTATGAAATTCAGAACACTTTTATCTTTGTTTTGAAAGCAAGGAAATGATATCTTTTGAAGTTTTGGAGCTGTGATAGAGTGTATTCTCTTTGCAAAATTGCTGCAAAGAATACTCCATCCAAGTAAAAGTAAAACACTCTTGTTTGGGTATTCTTTTGGGTATCTTGAATCCTGGTGAGCAGCTGAATAGATGTCTTTAATAATTCTGTCAGTTTTCTTAAGAATTAATATTTCTTCTAGATTAATGTTAGAGCAATGTATCAGGCTTTCATAAACATGAGAATAAGCCTACCAAAATAGAGATACCTGATTCTAATTTATTTCTTTAAGCTAAGGTAAATAAAGCTTTATTTAGCTTGGAACTTAGAGCATTTATTTCTGAAGAGCTGCATTGAGACAGAATTAAATAAAGAGATGTAATATTAGTTCTTGAAGAAATTTTGATTGTAATTGAGAGTTAAGATGGCTGTAGAGATATCATATTTGTTAGTTTGTGTTTATTACAAAGGATAATTTATATCTAAATCCCTCATTTTACTATTTATCGAATTCAGCATGATCTCATTAAAATCATAACTTATCATTAGAACCTTAAAACTCGAGGATATTATTATCAATCAAATTGAAGCAAAGAATCCATGCTCTTTCCAACTATAATTCCACTCCTCTTATTCTAGAAAACGTTCTTGGCTTTTATTAAATAGGTACCTTTCTCCTCCTGGCTCTCCTTTGCCTCCATCTATAAAAGTTATAATTCCTCACAAATTATCCAATTATCTATCCCTCCGTCGGGGTTTTGGGGTTTTGGGGTTTTGGGGTTTTGGGG